TTAAGCACAGTTTTGCTTTCCTCTCTGAAAATGCCTTGTTTTTCTAATCAAAAAATGTGTAGCTCTAAACAAGGCTTCAGTTGGAGTTTTATTGAAGGGTTTTCACCGGTCTTGTGAAAAAAAAAACCTGCTGTATTTATTTATTTATTTTGTATATATTTTAATTAAACATTTTTATTGAATTTTTATTTTTATTGAACATTTTTATTGCAAAAACATGTCAGAAAATTACATTGAGTAGAAAGATAGTATCTGTCATACGTGTAATTCGAGTTCTGACCCCCACATGAAAAATAAATATAAAAGTAAAAAAAATTAAGTTGTAATTAAATAAACAACAAATAAATAATAATAACACTAATAATAATAAAAATAATAATGACAAAAAATACAATATGAGATTGCAAAATGGCATATTACATTTCTTTTGTCCAGGCTGAGTCTAACAGACAAGATTTTAGTTTTAGAGACTTAGAGGTTCCTAGATAATTAAAGAAAGGGTCCCAGGTCCGAAAAAATAATAAAGGTTTGTTCTTCATTGCTGTGGAGAAAGCCTCAAGTGGGATTATGCTGCAAACTGCAAGCAGCCATTGATTTAAACTGGTTGGTTCTTCATTAATCCACTTTACAAGGATATAATTCCGAGCAAAGTTAATCAAAATATGAAGGTATCTGTTCCGAAAATTATAAGCTATATCATCATTGAGGCCCAGTAAGCAAGTCTTTGCTCCTAGTCAAAATGTACATTTAAAGATGGCGTCGAGCTGCAGTCTAATCAAGTTCCAAAACTGCTGTATATAAGGACAACTCCACATACAATGATAGAAAGTTCCAATGTCTACTTTACATTTCACACACAGCTCAGATAGACCTGGATTCGTTTTATAACTAACCTCAGGTGTAATAGACAGTCTATGTAAAATTTTAAATTGTCGTTCCCAAGAAGAATTTAAGGCTAACACACCAAGAGGGTTGCTAAAACCTGCTGTTTTTACAAACCTTCCTTTAATTCGGTGACTCCACTTGTAGTGCGCTGCCCGGTGGGGAGTTAGCATGGTAGCTTGCATGACATGTTCTGAAATGTCTCTCAACCAAGTCTCGCTCTGCCATCGTCAAATGAAGTAAAAAAGAACTCTTCCTCCTATTCAAAAAATTTTTTTTCTGCCACGTTTTCAATTGAGCTCCTGCCCTTTACTGGACCCGCAACCATTACTAAGAAGACCAGCTAGCTCTGATGAGTTTTTTATATATATATATATATATATATATATATATATAACTTAGTCATTTTCAGATTTACACCAAGTGTGATTTAAAAATAATAGCCTCAAAAAATATTAGATGCAGCTTACTAGTAAGTAGCGCTATGGTGAGCTATCTTTAGAACAGGCACACAGGCAACTTATGTGATGTTGGTGACCCCTGAAATAGTGCATTTACTGTGTATGGCCATACACCCAAAGCGCTTCACAGTCATGAGGGGGGTCTTTCCACACCACCACCAGTGTGTAGCATCCACTTGAATAATGCGAAGCCAGCCGCAGGACAACAGTGCTCGCCACACATCAGCCAATTCTGTGGATGGAGATGATTGAGATCCATGATCAGGAACGGCCAATAGAAGGCATTTGGCCAGGATCAACACCCCTACTCTTTTACGAAAATCCTTGGGATTTTTAATGCCCACAGAGAGTCAGGACCTCACTTTAACGTTTCATCTGAAAGACGGTGTTCAATAATAATAAAGTGTCCCCTTCACTATACTGGGGCATTAGGACTCACACAGACCACAGGTTGAGCGCCCCCTGCTAGCCTCACTAACACCACTTCTAAAAGCAACCTAGTTTTTCTATGTGGTCTCCCATCCAGGCACAGCCCTGCTTAGCTTCAGTGAATAACCAGTCTTGGGCTGTAGGGTGATATGGCTGTGGAAATATCATATGTTTTCAGCAAACATATATTGGATAATTTTTAAAAGGTACATTTTCCCAACATTTGTATTTATTTCTATTTCTTTTTTCTTTATTTCTATTTTCAAAAGAATATTACATTTATCCAACTATTTATTTTAATGTAATACATAAATTCATGAAAGTAGCATGCAACAAATAAATCTATATTTATGGATTTATTTATTATTTAAAATATAGTTTTAAGACTGGGCATTTATCAGTTTTTTGGCAGATCCATTGTTCAATGAAAATCATCATACTGTGTAGATTAGTTGGTGCAAGTGACTACATTTGTTTGTTATTGTGACTTGACGACTAGGTCAATTTTTATTTTTCAATTCGGTTCATAACAGGTGCTGTTTTATCTCCTTGCATACAGCGGGTGATTTGATGTGTTTGTTGCTGTCTGATACCATACAGTGGTGAGAGCTGCATGAATTACAGGATCCACTTTAAACACGAGTTTGCAGACGTTCTCCGCTCACTGGAGGAAATTAAAAGCTACAGCAACTTCCTTTCAACTTCCCGCACGGCCTCTCATCTTGTGCCAGTGCCTTAATGAATAGTAAATTATTAGTCTCTGGCTTCCTTTTCACCACAGACAGTTTACAGTAGATGTTCACCTTGGACATGGACATGGATGTAGTTTTACACTCCAAATAAACAACTACCTGGCTAAATGGCTACGATACAGCCACCATGCATTTCACCAAATACTTACAAATCACAACATCAGTAACAATGCTAATACTGCTCTGGAATCATTCACAAATGGAGCATTCATTCATTTTCTTTTCGTCTTAGTCCCTTTAATAATCAGGGGTCGCCACAGCAGAATAAACCGCCAACTTATCCAGCACATTTTTTTATGCCCTTCCAGCTGCAACTCATCACTGGAAAACACCCATACAATGTCATTCACACACACTACAGACATTTTAGCTTACCCGATTCACCTAAAGTGCATGTCTTTGGACTGTGGGGGAAACCGGGGCACCTGGAGGAAACCCACGCAAACATAGGGAGAACATGCAAACTCCACACAAAAACGCCAACTGACCCAGCCAAGGCTTAAACCAGCTACCTTCTTGCTGCATTAGGTGACAGCGCTACCCACTGCGCCACCGCCTTGTCACCCAAATGGATCATTAATTATTTAAAATTTGATTATTTGGTAATGTTGAAATGTGGTTATTCTTTCGAACCAGCAAACTTCTTGCTGTGAGGCGATTGTCAAAACAAGAACATTGTGCGGCTAAATATCAACTTTCAAATAAACGGCTCTGGAAGTAATTAAGTATATAAATGTATGTTTATGTGTGAAACTACTGTGTGTGGCAGCACTTTAGAAAGAGAAGATCCATCTTTTGGATCTCAACTCTCGGTGGTCATTAAAAAACTCCAGGATGTCCTTCGAAAAAACAGTAGGGGTTTAACCTCGATATCCTGGCCTCTGTGGATCATGGCGTCCTTACCATCCCCATATCATAATTGGCTTCATTACTCGGTCTCCTCTCTACCAATCAGCTGGTGTGTGATGTGCGGTAAGGCACAATATGGCTGCCGTCGCGTCATACAGGTGGATGCTGCACATTAAAAGTGGATGAGAAAATTCCCTCCAATGTGAAAAGCGCATTGAGTGTCCAGAAAAGCGCTATATACATGTAGGGCTTTATTATAAATTATTATTATAATCCTGACTAGGCTGTATTACTGCCTAAATCTCTATTTGTTATATGTACAGTGCTCAGCAAGTATAAGTACACCCCTCAAACCTCTCTTTTAAATTCACATTTTAATAGGAAGCTATACAATATTATAGTTGTGCATATACATCAGATTACTCAGTACTGAAGACAAATCTTGAGCTTATCTAACAAAATACGATAACGTCTAAGTACACCCAAATTTATGTTATAGAAAAATATTAAATACAAATTTAAAATAGAGGAAAAATCAAGAGAAGCAAAAAAAAAAAAAAAGTTGTAATTTTGTAGTTTTTTAAAAAAAATTTTATATTTAGCTTGAATTTAATTGTTTTATCTTTTTAATTCCAAATATGTTTGATGACTAAAATATTATTTTAATAAATCTGTTTTGTTTAAATGTATCAAAATATCAAACTAAAGATCAAAATACTCATTTTCAAAATGGGGTTTACTCAGTTATCATCACACAAACTTTAGGAAGTTTTTTTTTTTTAAAGAACAATTCAAACAGGAACTAAAACCTGATTTTGTTCAACAGAGCAGTATTCCTGTTTTTACTGCTTCTGAAAACAACCTCAAGATTTATATATAACCAGACAGAACCTCAAACAATTTACATTTACAGCTTCTATTCATATTGCAACACAATCATTTTTACTACAGGTTTATTTAAGTCATAAATATGAATAGAAGTCCTGACCACCTTGTAGGAAAGTAATGAAACAAGACCATAACAGACTCAGAAAGAGAATTAAACTCCTCCTTACACGTTTTGTCTGTTGGAATTTTGGATGAGAAACACAAAGGCCAAATGTTGTGCCTAGATTTTAGTGGATCTCCACAGTTACCCTGAGATCTTCTCTGATCCCTGGCCAACGTTATATGAATGTGTTTACAGACCCACACCTGCCAGAGGAGCCCTAAATCAGCAGATCTGGGATGAGTAAATCCTGAATGCCACACTGTGGGTCAGGGAGGTTCATGCTCTCCCCATGGGCAAGCGAGGAATTAGCAGATTAACCCCGAGGAGAGGCGCTTCTGCAACATTCCTCACTCCTTCTCAAGACTTGCGTGTCTGTCTGTAGAAGACCAAGAAAGTAGACCCGTCTCAGCCTTTAAACTCGAAACTAACCTTGACCTTGGTCTAAAAGATCTATTTTGAGTGTCTTTTAAAAGTGTTAAAGCTTTAGGGCATGTAGACGTTTACTTTCAAGTACATGTCAGGGCCCATAATGAACGTTTTATAATGGCTTCGACCTTTCGTGCGATGCACAGAGAGCCTTAAAATCTCACGAGACACAAACATGCAGTAATAAAAAGCAGGCAAAGGCAATAAACATCCGTTTTTCGTTTACGACGTCTATCGTCTGTTTATTATTCTGAAGTATGTACCAAAATAATCGCTATACGTACTGTAAAAATAGCATTTTGCATCGTGTAACTACGTAAAAATGTTTACAGTCAAGCATCTCTAATTGTACAAAAAAAATAACAACACAATAAAGATACAAACAATGAAGAACCGAACATCCTCACGTCAGTGTGCAAACTGTTTATACAGATGGAATCGCCTCCGTCTTAGGCGGCACTCCATGATAAATTATTTAAATAGCATTTATCTACACACATATGAAACAGTCTTACAAACAGAGACAACAAATAATAATTTATCAACTTAAAAAAAAAAAAAATAAGAAGGAAAAAGTACTGGACATTGAAGCACTGGCAAATGTATTGCTTAAAAAACACACATTGTTGACTCCCATTTTTACTCTATCCATTGTGACGTTGGGCTGTTTGTTCTATATACTATTTACAACTTGTGCTACAGTAGCAATAAGGCAACCGATTTGTTTTCTTTAAGCAAAGGAAGAAAAGCTTTTGCTCGATCAAATTACAAAACAGCAATGAGGTAATATTTGTACATTTAAAGTTTTTCTTTATCTCTCTCTCTACAGAAACGGCTCAGCAGATCGTCTCCTTTGGAAGTGATGGATGAACATTTCTTGGATCGGACAGAGCTTCGATTATGAGGGTTTGCTTTTCTTTACGATGTTGAAAAACTTGCTTAAAGTGTGGGTAAAATCTGTCTAGCCAAAGCATTTTGTAAGTGCTACATAAATATACATATATTTAAAAGTCTAAACTTCCCTTAGAAATCAGCATTTGTAAAGGAGACGGGAGTGCTTGGTTATCTAGAGTCAAACGAGTGTTTCTTGTATTGCAGAATCTTTAAACCTTGCTCTGTCCAACTCCTCTTCATACTCTACAACCTCTCGTTTTGCCATTTCAAATGAATTACTAGTTTATCCATCGAGCCCTGAGAAAACTATGCCCACTATACCATGAGTTATCTCCTGCCAAACCTTCTGCTTAGCCAAAATAATAATAAAATGACAGATTGGTCCTTTTAAAAATCACCTTCTTTGGCTGGCAGATCTTTTACTTGTTACATACTTCGATATCTGAAACATTCTCATTGCTTTGCTTCTCAGTTTACAGTTTTAATAAAACACTGAATATCACAATAGTAACCTTTCTTTAAAAGGCTTCTGCTCTTTGAAGTAGCCATCATTTTGGCTTATCTCATGAATAGAGCATAGAAGCGCATGAGAGAGAGAGAGAATAAAGGTTTTGAAGTGCATAGCTGTCTGCTGGGAGCTTTTCCCCACACAGAGCCCAATGAGGTTTTTCAGAGAGATCTCGGTCTTCCCAAATAAGCCAAGCGAGGGAGACTTTCTTCTGCTCTACCTGCTAATGGTGGAGGAGTCTAGATCCGGTTTCTATCCCAACCAGTGACATTACATTGAAGTTGACCAGCTGCTTTCTCACTCCACCGGTGTGCGAGCGACAGCAGAAAAAAAGTAGCATCGAATCTGTCCCTGGACTTTGCTTGGAATACATATTTATATCGAAAGGTGCATCTTTGATAAACTTCCAGCCTGTGCAATTACGCATCTGAAAAAGGAAAAGACAGGAAGAGTTATTGTTGAGTTTCGGGAATTGATGTAAATGAGTGCTTGTTTAGAAGTCTATGCGATGTGTTGATGCTCACCTCTGCATTCGTATTTGAGGTCTGAGAAATACACCATCTCTTGTGAGAAGACGAAGAGACCTAGTCTTCCGCCTGCGTATGTTTTGTCGTAGATTCTGCCAGAATCTGCCATGATCTTTTTGCCTTCATACATGACCACTCTGAAATATGCAGAGAAATATTTTGTCAGCACATTAAGTGAAGATAATTTGGAAACTCATTTCGAGAGGATCACGTGCTTATGATTAAACACAGCTGGTCATGCATTAGCATATTTATGATTCACCAATTAGATGATTCCTAAGTAGCTATAAATACCCTAAGTCCCATATCACAACCATCTTCGTTTTGAAGAATGCCCTCTTCCACCCCTACTTCTCCTCCTTTTTTGGATGGGTGGCATAGTGGCCCAGTGGTTAACATTGTTGCCTCACAACAAGAACATCACTGGTTCTAGTCGTTACCAAGCTAGCCGACGTTTCTGTGCGGAGTTTACATGTTCTCCCCGTGGTCACATAGGTTTCCCATGGGCCCCCCGGCTGACTAATTGACTAATCTAAATCGCCACTATAGACGTGCTCCTAGTAAGTAGCTAAATCTTAAGAGCAATCCCTATCTGTTCATTAGCTACTACGGCAGGGAAGTTTCAAGATCTACCTGAGCTCAAATTCCACTCTTGCCCTGCAACGGGAGGGAGCCCTGGGCTTGAGGATCTTATGCCAAACACGCTTTATAATCAATCATCAGCTAAGTGTGAACTTTTGAAAATAGCCTTTTAAGAATGTGTATGACACATTAATACTAATACAAATGTTTGCTATTTTTCATGTTTTAAGCATCATCATTTAATTTTAGACTTATTTATAGACTAATATTATTTGCCTGCATGATGATTTCAGATGGTATTTGTAATAAAAAATACACTAGAAAAATTTTAGTTTCGATATATAACAATATTTTTTTGCAGCTTTTTAAATATATTAGATTAGGTTTTGGATTTAATAATGTTTATAATATTACCTTATGTGTCCAGTTCTTGGTCTGTGTGTCAGGTGCCATCTGTAAGCAGTAAAGTCCTTCCATCCCACATTCTTTGGGTCATGCCACAATGTGCGCACCTATAACAAATCAAGTCAAATTTAGCATTCACATGAAGGCTCTCAAACCTGATATTATCCGTTTGACTTAAGAAATAAAGAAAATATTTGAAAGAAAGCTGGAAACCTGTAACTATTGACTTCCACAGAATTTTGTTACAGTTTTTCTGACTACTGGAAGTCAATAGTTACAGGTTTTCAAAATATCTATTTCATGTTTAACAGAAGACAGATACTCGTAAAGGTTTGGAATCACTTGAGGGTGAGTAAATAGTGAGTATATTTTCAGTTTTGGGTGAACTATCCATTGAAGCACACTTTACCTGTCCTGGTGTGTCTCCAGTGTGCCAAAGGGCGTTTCTCAGATGCTCCCCAGGTCCTGTGGTGGAATTAACCACTTTGATGGACAGCCCTGAGTAACCCTGTGCTTTGGTAGGTGTGCTGGACCAGTAGGTCTGTGTGATCTGCTTCCACATGACCACATAGAAGCGAGAGCTGGACTGGTATCCGAAAACAAAACCAGCATAGTCGTCATCCCTCTCAGTGTTGATGAAGAATGTTCCACTGAAGTCCACTGAATTGAACTCATCAAAACCTTTAAGAGTTTGAAGAAACAGGTAAGAATTTTGTGGTTGCTGACATATTTTAGTTGTATGATTCATTTTTTAATGCTTTTTGAATTCAGAATGGAATATAAATTAATGGACTGCATAAAGTTTTATCCAGTCATATTTAATATAATAATTATTTTTGTTTCATTTTTGTGCTAGTTAATAAATACATTATATAATGCATGTGTCTTTGCAAGCTAAGGTACCATGCAGGATTTTGTTAACCGTTTATGTATATAAAGTTAGCATTTCCAGGTGTTTTTCCATATATTTTTCTGTCGTAGCATTCATTAAATTTAATTCTACCCTTTTTTTTTAGCTTACCAACAGCAATGCCAGGGTCGCAGTTGACTGTCTGAACCAGCTCTTTTCCTTGATGACGAACCACCCAGTTGGGATCGATCTGAGAAGTGCCCTTGGGATCCAGAGGAACCATCTGGAACTTGCGGAAGTCGGTTTCACTGATATCGAAGTTCTCAGGACAGACATCATAGATATCCAGAACATTGTCCATGTCAAAGTCATCTTTACAGGCATCGCCACGTCCATCGCCTGCAAAAGGAGGAAGGTAAACGCTTAAGTATAAATCTGTACATTTATGAGTGCAATGTGAAGTGTTACAGATATTCCGGTGTAAAACGCACCATCAGAATCTAGCTGATCTGGATTGAAGACCAGTCTGCAGTTGTCTTTTTCGTCAGGAATGCCATCATTATCATCATCGTAGTCGCAGGCATCTCCTTTACCGTCCTTGTCATGATCAGCCTGGTTGGCATTGGGGATGTATGGACAGTTGTCCAGGTTGTTCTGGTGACCGTCTTCATCGATATCCTGGTTACTGTCACATTTGTCTCCAACGCGGTCAGAATCAGAGTCCAGCTGTTGGGGTTCAAGTAGAGAATAAATATTTAAAATTTTTGGTTCAGTATTCACATTTCTACTGCGTTTTAAATTATGGGTTCCTCTTCTGGATTTCAGGTACTTTTATTTAAAAAAAAAAGAAAAAAAAAGACAACAACCATATATACATTTACAAACATCATTTTCATAATGGATGAAAATAAATCACAAATTTAAATATATGTCTTGCCTAGTTTTCTCTATTATACAGTTGAGGTCAGAATTATTAGCCCTCCCATTTTCTTCCCCTATTTGAAGATTTTTTTCAACACATTTCTGAACCAACTAGTTTTAATAACTCATTTCTAATAACTAATTTATTTAATCTTTTCCAGGATGACAGTAAATAATATTTGACTAGATATTTTTAAAAACATTTCTATACAGCTTAAAGTCACATTTAAAGGTTTAACTAGGTTAATTAGGTTAACTAGGAAGGTTAGAGTAATTAGGCAAGTTATTGTATAACAATGGTTTGTTCTGTAGACTATGGAAACTATAATATATATATATATATATATATATATATATATATATATATATATAATATTATAATATATAGCTCAAAGGGACTAATAATTTTGACCCTAAAATGGCTTAAAAACTTTATTCTAGCCGAAATAAAACAAAGAAGACTTTCTGCAAAAGAAAAAATATTATCAGACATTTTGTGAAAATTTCCTTGCTCTGTTAAACATAATTTGGGAAATATAAAAAAAGAAAAGAAAAAAACTATAAAGAGGGTCTAATAATTCTGACTTCAACTGTAAGTATGTGTGTGTATATACATTACGAAATCTTGTTATACTTGCTATTTTCAACGTGACATTATTGTGACATGTATATTAGTGGCTAAAACTTTGAGCTCTCACTGTATTTTGTTCTTTCAGATAATTTACATCAATAACATTATTATTAAACAAGACCATAATCTTACTGCAGAAACACTTGAATTGAGTTTGATTTGGGGCTATTCATGGTCTACTTAAAGTAATTTGTTTATTCTAATAAGCTGCTTTTAAAGTTGAATGAACTGAGTAGAATAATGCCACCTCATTTTACAATGTTTTTAAAAACGCTTTAATGATTTGTTCACAGTTCAACAGAAGTTACTACCTTAAATCTTGCATCTTAAACCTTGCAAAAAGTGCATATATTGTATGTATATTTTATTTTGACTATTATATATCTATTATATATATTTATTTGGCCATTTTATGACACTAACCTGACTAAAGTCTTAAGCCTTGTAAATTGAAATACTGCCACAATAATAGGTTTAAAAGCTTCAGTACTAGTTGACCCATCTGTGTAGGATTTCTCCGAAAGCAATCTCATGTTCCCGAAGCTTGGCACTACCACATTCGCATTTCAGCGTCTAATGAAGAAAGGAGGGGTGCATTCCTTCTCTTCAGTTAACCATGGCACAGGTGTGATCCGCAGGGATTGAGTGCCGACAGGGCATGCATAAACCCACCGGCAAATCTCTCTCTCCTCGCTAATAACCATTCTTTACCTCCATATATCCTCTGGGTTAACTGAACACCAGTGAGTGTCCCTGAAAAGACTCCTAGTGCTTTATTGTGTGCCTTTGGCTTCAAGGAGAAGAGGATTTACTCCTCCCAAACATAGCTTAGTAAAGACTGCGACTACCCTCTGGGTATTTTTTTTGCAATGGCTCTGCAGCTGAACTGATTATATAATGGTTCGAGAACACCTGCGGTATACAGTCACTCGTTATTAAGTCTCATATACGTACCTGATCTGGGTTGTGTTCCAATGGACAGTTGTCACACTGGTCTCCAACTCCATCAAGATCAGTGTCTTTCTGGTCGACGTTGTACAGATACGGACAGTTGTCTTTCTCGTTCAGAATACCTGTCAAAAATAATTGCATAATGGTGAAGGTGTGCATTTCTAAAGAAAGTTTGGGTTATTGTAAAAGATATCCAGGTCACTGGTTTCACCCTGAGGCTAAAAGAAAGTAATACTTTGCTTTGCTATAAAAAAGCGGTGCGCTATTTTAAAACAATTGATTAACTTTTTAGGACAATTTTTTACTTTTTAAAAGCATTTGTTAAGGTTTTAATCATTTGGTTGTGTGTTTTAGTATAGTTTTAATATATTTTAATATATAGTTTTAATTTAAACAATAAAAATTAGAAATATTTCTATGGCAACTGCGTAAAAAAAGCTATATTACATGTTATATTCTTCAGATACAATTTATTTTATATCAATAACAAAAATTGTTTTCCTTGACAAGTGTTTTTGTATGCAAAAAAAAAAGGAAATGTTCACATATTCTACCATAATGGCAAAAAAGGCTGGTCTTATTCTCATTATCATATTCTAATTTAAATAATGCAAAATGTAAACTATATATATTTAGATGTTGCTTGTTTTTGTGTTGTCTTCAAATTAAGCAGATCTAATTAAAATAAATAAATTTTAAATAATTGTAATTGTGGAAAAGTTGGCGGTTCATTCTGCTATGGTGACCCCTGATTAATAAAGGAACTAAGGTGAAAAGAAAATGAATGAATGAATGAAAATTATAATTATAAAGTAAAAAAAATCCCAACTTTATTGCAAATCTGTTGAATTGTGACTACATTTTATCTTCATGCGAAATAAAATGTCTATTCTTTTGATTCTTCTGATATAAATACCATCATGCAGTGACCAACGTATTTATAAAAAGAGAGCACAATTTCGTACCATCTCCATCAATGTCCACAGCACAGGCGTCTCCTTCTCCATTGTTGTCAGTGTCTGTCTGGTCTGGGTTGCTGTTGTAGGGACAGTTATCACAACGGTCACCAACATCATCCCGATCATAGTCGTACTGTCTCGGGTTGAAGACGAGTGGGCAGTTATCCTGTTTTAAAAGAGACCACAGTTCAGGTGGAGAAACATGGCAGAAAAAAAAAACAGTCAAGCAAGCAGTTCTCTCACACGAAGGTTATTACTTTTAGATGTTTTAGCTTGTAATTTGGCTGTGGCTGTGTAGGTCTATTTAGAGGAGCGCAACGATAAAAGCAAGCCTTATTTTAGGATTTGGACCAAGCATAATATTGGATTAGCAAGTTACACTGCAGGTCTTTCAGAAAGGTGCTTTTTTGAGGTTTGTCTCCAAGAGAAACTCAGTTTACTTTACACATCACTTTTTTTTCCACACCTCTTCCTGAATTCCAAACGGCACGCCAAAACTTGGCCGGCTTGACTTTTTTCATTTATACATGGTGCATAATGTACATATATTCACTTTTATGGACTGTGATGAATCTATATTTTACCCTGTCATCAGGAATGCCATCGTCATCATCATCATCGTCACATGCATCACCAATGCCATCCTTGTCATAGTCTTCTTGCCCTGAGTTGGGAAGATTTGGGCAGTTGTCCTACAAAAATCATTTGTATCATACATCAACTTTAACATCTTCCATGATGGTGTTATTCATATTTTCTTGCACAAATGAAGTCATTATATGCAAACCTTCTTGCAGTGATAGGTTGCGTTCTCAACACACACGAGATCAGCATTCGGCCAACCATCAAGATCAGTATCTTCTCCACAGATGTGTCCATTTCCAGCAAAGCCAGGTTTGCATTCACAGCGGAACATGGGGTCAGAGAAATGGCCCAGGTAGTTGCAGCGAGCGTTTTTATTGCAGTCGTGGCTTCCATCCAGGCAGGGATTTCGAGGAGTGCACACCTGCAGCAGAGATCAGTCAGTCAGCACACACTGGTTGATGAACAGGTGCACTGGCAATCTCAATGAACTCTCATTTACCTGCTTCTTAGCAGCGGCGTCCTCCACTCCACGGCCAAACGGCTGTGGCCCGGTGTAACGAGTGGGGCAAGGGAGACAGTTGTAGCCTGGCACTGTGTTCTCACATCTGTGGACTCCATTAAATTCAAAGCAGGCATCTGGTACTTCCTTACACTGTAATGGAGATAAGGACACATTTTTACTCATAATACTTTAAATAGCACAAGTATTAAAGAAAGAATAAAAGTATAAATATTTTTCATTAGGTTTTGGATGTACATATCAATCACTATTTGACATAATAAGCAAATTTACTTCCTCTATTTTCCAAATTAATTACTTTAAAACATTCTAAACCACTAAATTCTAAACTAAAACTACATTCTAAACAAAAATTCTAACCACTAATTTAATACCAGTTAACTGTAATGTTAGCAATGACATTGTGTTTTTCATAAATTCTTGTGGGCTTGAATTTTTTTCTTTTTTTGTGATTTTACTCGTTTAAAATATTATATTTTTTAATGCTGGCCATTTATCAGTTATTTGTCAAAAAATAAAAACATAAATATATATGCATCCGATTCTAAAAAGCATTGTACTCCACCTCATTGACATCTTTGCAGTTGATTCCATTGCCAGTGTATCCTGTGGGGCATTTTCCACATTTCCAGGACCCATCTGGAAAGCTTGTGCACTGGGCCCCTTCAAAGCACGGACTCGAAAGACATCCATCTGTGGAGATGAAAATAAGTGAATCGTTTAACATAAACACACATGCTAGTGTCTAACATCTGATGGAGCTGAGTGACACTGCAACTCACCAACAGGACAGGCTTGTTTGTTGCAAATCTGGCTGACCTTTGCATCTCCCACACACTCTTTGCCACCATGTTTGGGTACAGGATTATTGCAAAGACGCTTACGGTTTTGGACGCCACCACCACAGGTAACAGAGCAAGTATCCCAGGGCGACCATGGTCCCCAGCCACCGTTGACTATAAAACCGTGTACAGTGACAAATCAGACAATTGTACTTTCCGCTTTTAATAAAGAAACACTGGATATTCACTTACTCGGACATGGTGATTTCTCACACCTCTCAGTTTGCCGCCCTTCACCCTGGCAGTCTTTGCCATCCATTTGAGGTGTCGGGGAGTTACAGAGACGGATGCGTGTAATAACACCAGCACCACATGTGACCGAACACGATGACCAGGGTGACCAGTGGCTCCAGCTACCGTCTTGCTTAACTGTTGAAAATGCAGACGTTTACTTTTCTCCTCTACTCTTGAGGAAAAAGCGTAGACACTTATTGATTATTAGGTGTCACTCACAGCGCTTGTCGCACTCCTGGAGGTAGCAGTCTCTGGTCTGCACTGACGTGCCCTCACAGTTGTTATTGATGCGGTCGCAGGAACGGCCGCGCTGCTGAATGCCCCTTCCACAGGACACTGAACAATGGGTCCATTCAGACCAGGGGGACCAACCATCCTCGGCGGAGTCGCTCGCTGTCGAGAGAGCAAAGCGAGACAATACTGAGCTATTCTTTCTTTCTAAAGCAGCAAAATGGAGAAAAGCTTTTAATACTGGGCCTTAATGGACTCAATTTAGCCTGGGCAGCTTGAGACGGAGCACTCCAGGGAACCCTGGCATGAACCAAGCAGTTGGAATGCCGGGGAAATGTCAGCGTACTTAATGCACAGGGATACCTTTGAGTCATTCTCCAAATGTGGAAATGGTATTTGCAAACAGCCTTGATTATGCCATGAGTTCAAACACATGAGGCTGATATTTATTTAAACGGCAAGCCCTCGAGACGTAGGAAGACTGCTGTTGCTTTCTTGAGTCTCGGCCAAACGGTACCAATTTTCCACCTCTCTTTAACCAATTTAGACAATTATGGCCATTTAGTGATTCGGCAATGCACAAAGCTCTAGTGTTCCATTCATTAGTTAAACTCTGGTTGAAGTCTATTGTATGTCTTAGAATGGTTGTGGATGTTTGGGTAGCAACAGCTCTTACAATACAAAAGCTTTTCAAAGTCAAAATGTTGCTTGTTTGACAATTTATTCAATTTGACACTATTGTATTTCTCTTCGCTTTTGTACTTTAGAGTGCATGGCTTCAGCATCTCTTTGTCTAAACAAGAACACATTCATTGATCAAAAATACAACATTTTCTGTTTATTTTTATTGTAAGGTGATATTTGCAGGATTCTTCAAAAATCATTCTAATGCTGTATGTTGAGTTGGTGTGTAAGAAACATTTCTTATTATCAGTGCTGAAACATTGTGCTAATTTAATATATTTTATGTGAATTGATCTTTTTTTATTTATTTACATGATAGAATTTCAAGATGGTTCTAATCTAATGTTGGTTTAAATGTATGAATTTAACGTATCTTTGCTTATTGGGAGGTATTTATTTCTTTAAAAAAAGTCTTTCAGGCCCCAAAACTTTTAAACAGTAATGTACAGTTTATTTATCCAATATGTAAATTAGGTTATGGATAAAATAATTTTATTTATTCTGAAGGTGATTTTACTGTTGCTTTGTAAAATTTTGCTGAAACTGCTGAAAAGTTTCATTTAGGATCCAAAAAGTGCTCACAGCTTTCACTTTTGTTTAAGCTTGGTTATAAAAGTGACTTTTGTGTGCTTTTCTTTATACTTTACATGTCAACTTTGTTGACAAAGGGTAATTAGCCATTTTGCAAATGAAACCTGAAATCTTGCTAATGCAACTGAACTGTGTGAACTTTGTTAGGCAGAAGCACTTACGTGTTCCACAGCGAGGGCAGCACTCTCCATCAGGTACTGTGGCATTTGCACATGGGATTAGGGGACATGAAATCTTGCGGCACACCGTTGCAGAATTCTGTGGATAACACATTGACTCTCATTGATCACTTGTTAAAGGATATGCCACAGCTGGTGTAGTCGTGCAATACAATGTTTAACATTACAGTAGTAATCTCTGAAAATGTGAACACTGAGAGACTTAATCATGTGGTCGTGTTTAAGTCTGTCTTTTAAATATTCCAACATAGTGTTGATCTGATGTGCCAGTTTAGAGAAACCATGAATATAGTTTATAAGGTTTGGTTGAGTCGACTGTGCTCTCTTTAGTTTCCTCCATTTCCCAATTTTAATTAGAGACTAGGAAGCTTAGGGAAATGGATACACCCAGCTTAAGTCTGCCACAGTGGACAAGGCTAAGACCAATACTGGGTATCATAACACCCACAGTGACACTGCTAACACACAAATTAGTGCCTTAATGACAGAGCAGGTAGCTCTCTGATTCTTTGGGCTCATACCTGGCAAGTGCACTCTGTGCAGTCGTCCACTGTCCATTCCTCCTTGTTTTTGTGCACAATTCCATTGTGAAGACATACACCAGCACGAATGCCCATTTGATTCATGAGCATGTTTTTGTCATCCGTCTGCAAATACAATGTTTAGCAAATTAATACAACTGAGAGTTTATACCGTATATAGTTGATATATATATTCTTTCTTTTTGCTAACCACTTTTCGGAGTTCATTGGACAGTTCTTGAACCACCACACCAAGACCTTTCAGTTCCTTAAACATGGCAGCCAGATCCTCACATGAAAAGCCACAAATCATTTGCAGATCTGTAAAGGAGAAATATGCAGTTTTATAAGTTTTGGATTTTGCGCACTTTAAATAACTAATATTTTTAACTGAAAACTAAGGTTTACCTTTTGTTTTGTGGCCAGTGTAATCTGTCCTGATTGCAGGGCTGGATCCATTTATGGGATTGTCAAGGGTAATGATATCAGTCATTGCTGCTAGAAAAAAAAGATATACAGATGGCTTAAAGATTATTATAAAAAATGAGCAAACAGAAGACTTCAATTAAAAATGAATGGAAAAGTGAATACAGCTTAAATTATCGGTCTAATTTTGCTATTATTCATTCACTGGCACAGAAGACGATGTATTTGGATTTATGATGTGATGCTTTTTTGTTTGCCTGGTTCATTTTGTTGCACTTAAAAGAAAAGATGTATTGCTAATTTTATGGTCCAACGATTTTTTAGAAAAATATAATTTAATTATTTTTTTATTAAAAAGACACTTATTTAAAAGTTAATATGTAAAGAAAACCGAACCAACATGTGCACAAAAGCTTGCATTCATCATTATTCTTATGGATGCATACTCATGTGTTCTGCATTACACTTACAGTTTTGGCACCCTTTATTCCTCAGGATGGCTTCCAGCGTGGTTCCGAATACAAAGCGCACGTTTTGCAACACCCCCTAAAAATCCACAAGTGGTTAGTACTTCTCATCGCTTCTGTTAACATGCAACAGAGTTCATACAGTGAACAGTCCACTCACCATGAACCTGTCCTTCACCGCGCCTTTACCGATCCTCATTTTGGCCACACCTGGAATCTCCTGAGTCAGGATGGTGTGGATTGAGGCATCGAGCTCCGCCACGTTCACCTCCTCACATCCCACATAGAACTGAACCCTGTCCTCTTGCACGAAAAGAGTGATGTTTTTCCAGTGTCCCACCGCCAAGTCCGCTTCCTCGATGGACACGACCTGCTGCTTGTTCTCGGTGGAAAAAACAATGTCCAGAGTGTTGGCTTTCCCGTTGGAAACGATTTCAAACACGGGTCCAGAACCGTCATTCTTCTCCACAGTCAGCAGGCTTCCCCTCGTGCGTTTGAACTGCTTGAAATTAACCAGCAGCAGAAATCCTTTCTCGGCGTGAATGGAATCGATTAGGTCCCTAAAGGCGCTCTCGGGGACCGGGGGGATCAGGTCGGGGTTCAGGATCTTGTAGGCGGGGCTGTACGGGTCGTCGCCTTTCACCAGGGTCACTCCGTGGTTTTTCCTTGGTACTTGGACCAGCTCGAACAGATCGTAAACACTGTTGTCGTCTCGACTCTCTATCAGGAAGGTTAAATAAATCTCGTTATAATGGATATATCAAACATTAAAGATTACTTTTAAATTGATACGCGGCTCTCTGTGGTACTTGATTCTGATTGGTCAGTTCAGCTGTCAATTATCTGAATCAAATATCGTTGCCCATAGCAACTCAATATAACTGACCGGTCACATACGCTCATATAATGTATCGTTACAAACAAGCATGTGTATTTCAGGTAGGTATATTTGAATACTTTTACTTAAGTAGCAGACTTAAATATATATTTTTATGTGTACTAATTGTGACTAAATTGTTCCGTTTTTAGTTTATAAAAGTATACTGTGAATTATGAGGTGATTAACTACTTTTTATTTATGAAATTAAACTTTATTCCATAAAGTACGTTATTATACTGAAGGCATAGGTAGACTGTTTTCTTTAAATGGATTTTATGGTGACTATATGAAATATACTTGAGGAATTTTTTGAGAAATATAAACATGTTAAACTTAAAATAGACATTCTTATTTTTAGTTTAAATATTTCTTAAAATATTTTTTTCCGATGCTAAAAAGTCACATAATAAACCCACAAGTCCCAAGTATATTTTGGCATAATAACCAAATGGCTAGTAATTTTGTAATATTTAACAGCTAGTTGTTCTTTTAACCACAGGACTGGAGCAGTCCCAATCACTGAACGGCACCAGCTCAAGAATCATCGCTCACCTGCGACTCTCGCGCTCTCGCAGTTCCAAAGCATCAGTAGCAAAAAGATTGCAGTTGACTTCATTTTATCACTTATTCTTTAACCTATCAGAAATCACAAATAAAGGCAAAAGTTATTTAAAAATGAGCCAAACGTACCCTCAAACAGGTCTGATCAATCAAAGGTTTAAAAAAAACTTAAACGCACCTTCCAAGAGTTTAAAACAGCAGCAAATCCAGGGAAAAGTGATATTATTCCTAAGATGCGTCAATCAAAGGTCGTATAAGAAATAATTTTCCTTTTTAGTCGCGATCTACAGCATTCGATGTTGCTTTGCTGTAGTAGTTACAGTGGTCAATCTAACTATTTCCAAAGAGAGCAAAGTGCTATTTAAATAGTTTCATGGCATTCCTGAGCGCGCGTCTCCTCCAATCAGATGCTGAAAGGGAAAAGGGACGAGCTTGCGTTACCTCACAGAGCGTTTGTCTGACTTACACACGAGGGAAAAACGCACAAATTCCAGCCACCACATTCCATAAACATACTTTTGCTTTTTATGACTGCTGCTTCCGTTTAGTTCCGTTTTATTTGCCGCAGTGCTGATTATTTTCGTCGCACTGCTTTTTGTTTGATCATTTAGTAATGTCAGTTATTTCTTGTCACTGAGGATTCGGTCTATTCCGTTCCTTGTCTTAGCTATTGTATTTTCATTTCACTCAATCTATAATAAATGGTTCAAAGTATGTTTTCATGGTCAAGCGTCACTTTTTCTTGTATCTTATTTATTTATTTATTTTTTTAAAGAAAGTGTTTATATTTAAGTACGGTGTATCTGCCATTCACAGCATCTAATGGGATGCCTGTGAAGTAACTGCTGCAGTAAGGCGCGTCTCCGCTAGAGGCCGATCTATGGTTATTTGAGCACCTGGTTCTCTAAAGGATTTCTAATGTTGATTTAATGTTAAATCAGCTAAATGCTATATATATATATATATATATATATATATATATATATATATATATTTTTTTTTTTATTTTATTTTTTTTTTTAGCATTAAAAATAGTTTAACTTCAGCACTTTTTATGTTGTCAGGAGTGTCAAGTTAAAAACTCCCCTAAAACATATATGAAGAGTTAAGATGCAAAAACCTCAAAGTTTCATCTTAAAATTTTCAAAATTATAATTTTTTGAAACTTCTATATTTATATACACTAATTTCATATAAAATGCAATGAAAATAGAATATTAATTGACATAAAAGGAAAATTACTCAACTTTTACATTTGAAAAATGCTAATTTTAGGAGAAAAAAATCAGATGGCGCTTACAGGTGTTTGCATCTGAACTCTTCACATATCCTTATGAAAATTCATTATAGCCAAACCATGTACAAGTACACGTGGTAACCAACTACACTAAGCATAGTTTAACCATTTGGGATGATGGTTATATAAAAGGTAACTAAACAACACTATCAAAAACATGGTATTATCCTAAAAGCTACTACAATGAAAATAGAAATGTAAAAGATATTAATCATACAAACTAAATTTCTAGAATTGTATGTGAAGTAGATATGACAGTACTGCTACACTAGGACTTTTGACATATAGTATAGTCTTCACATCTCACTGTTAAAATGCTGGGTTCCACACAATTCTTTTAAGTTGTCCTAACAAAAATCAATTATGTTAACTTAAATGTTTTATCAAATTTAAGTGAATTGAACGTAAAACAAGTTATTAAAAATAACTCAATAATTGTGTTGATTCAGCTCATTTTAAATAAATAGTTTGAACAAGCATTAAAAATATATTTTTTTATATATAGTATTTTATATTTTAGTATTTTATATTTTTTATATATATATATAGTGTTTATATACTATATACACTCATATTGCAGCAGGTACAATATATATATATATATATATATATATATATATATATATATATATATATATATATATATATATATATATATATATATATATATATCGTTTTATATATATATCGTTTTATATATATACATATAATGATTTTTATTTTATATGCTTTCCAAATGTTCAAATGACAATGCATAAATCATACCTGTTAGTTTATTTCAATATTCCTTGGCACTAAATTGGTCACATTTTAGCTTATAGCTTATACTTTTAAGTATGCCTAACCCTATGGAAAACGTTCCTTGGAGGATTAACATTCTACATGTGATCAATGCTATGAAATTATTTATATTTTTTATAACTTTTATTTTTTCAAATTATTCATATGTGCTACAGCACTGGACAGTGAGCCATTTTTTATAAAATGGTTAGAATATTGACATGAGTAAATATGTTATAAAAACCGAAAGAGGCTTGGACCTGGAAGCAGAAATGTGTTTTTTCTGTTTTTTTGTTTGTTTGTTTTTTTTTTTAAGTAATTTTGAATAACTCTTTTAAGATGATTAAAAAGGGATCATCCAACCATTTTTATTCCTGCTCAAAACAGTCTATTTAGACTGTTCAAGAATTTAAGAGCGGAAGTAAGCAGTCTTCGCCTAATGGCCACCCTAGTGCTTGTTGATTTTTCAGTGGAACGGAACAATAATTAAGACACTAAATGTGCATTTTTGCTTTTCACAGTGCCGTATTCGTGAGCAGCTTGAGGAGTGCATTGAAGTTTGATCCTCATCCGGCTGATCCTGGTAGACGTGACAAGAAGTCAGACAGGAGGTAGGCTGTATTGTTTAGAGGGTCAGGATAAACCTGACCTCAGAAAACTCTCTGGACAGATGTAACTGATGATACAAGAGGTTATGCGTCAACCATCTTTGCTTTGTGTTTACTTTCTTTGCCCTGTGGCCACACAGGCCTATTGTTCTCACAAATATGGCACTAAGTCTCAAGAGATGCTGTCAGTCTGAGCGTCTGCAGCATAACTCTAAAAGCTAAATGCCTTCCAAAGCTTGGTCATGGAAACCATACATTCTCCTAATGACGCACGCAAGCTTCTCTCAGTTAACAGCTTCTGTGCAACTTGAGTTGACCGGTTGCAGAGTTAAAGGAAAAAATATTCCAGTTATGAGACAGCTGCTTACTTTTGGTGTAAAACATCATAAATAAAAAGATGGCTCCAAAATTCTTTCCAAAATGATCCAGTTTTCAAGTTTATACATATTTTTGAAATTCTTTTTGAGCTTTTTCTGTAAGCAACAATGATCAGATGTCTAGCTGATGTCTGATCTGTCATGGCAAGCTCAAGTTCAGGAGATAAGGGAGTAAGATATGACTGAGTAAATATCTACTCATTGCCCTATAAATGCCGGAGGGGATGGAGATTTCAGGACTGGGATTACTCATCACAGTTTCTCCAGATTTAAAACCAACCTTGCACACCCACTGTTTCACCAACCCTTTTTTGCATATTTGGTAGCAAGTTTGGACACACCAGGCAAAATTCTTTTTGTGAAGGGGGCTGTTTGTCAGAGATTTAGAAACAGTTTTGAGAGGTTTATTCCTCGTTGTGTGTGTGCATGTTTCCTTCTCTAAAATGTTATCCTAAGAATTCAGAGGCAAAAAAAGAACAACCAAAATAACAAAATTTGGAAATAATCTCAAGGTATTTATATAGATTAATTGACTATATATACAGTTGAAATTATTGGCTCACCTTGAATTTTTTTGAAAATGTTTTCAAAATGATGTTTAATAGAGCAAGGAAATTTTCACAGTATGTCTGATAATATTTTTTTCTTCTGGAGCGAGGCTTATTTCTTTTATTTGGGCTTGAATAAAAGCAGTTTTAAATTTAAAAAAAAAACATTTTTAGGTCAAAATATACATAGATGATAGATAGATAGATAGATAGATAGAAAGAAAGAAAGAAAGAAAGAAAGAAAGAACATATTGATAAAAACACCCCCAAAAAACTTGAATTTTGATTTCAGAGAACCTTTAAATCTTTAACACTCCTCTTAAAACTCCTTGGTTTTACCCATCAGCTGTTTAACCCTTTTTTTTGTCATTTGAACTATCATACATTTCAGCGTCTTTTATATATTTCTCTGAAAAGTATGTTTTTGTGTTCAGTTTCACATAATAACAACATTATTTATCCCAGGTTTTTACTTTTTTTAAAAAACATTATGTAGACCCTTTTCTTTAATTTTTTTTTTAAGTATCTCATCTTTAACCCATATGTATGTGTGTATCGCAACTTTAATGTATAAATGACTCCTCAGATGTAAGTTCATGCTGACAGCTAGATCATTCACAATTATTAAAGAAAAAATATTCAATTTTAATTTAGCTCCAATCTTGAACAGTCTTCAGGAAAACCTAACGTACATGAATTCCTTTCCATACTAACCCAAAATAACCTCTCTGTCCGAAGCCAGCCAAGCTTTGCAGTGTTGACTCTTCAGAAACACTTAAGCATCTTGTTTATGTCTCTCAGCGAGTTATGTGCAAGAAAAGCTGCATTGAAGAGTGTTAAATCAGCAGAATGGCATGTTCATCTGAATTCATCTCCAACATGAGGTAACAGGCCACACAGGGTCATTAAGTACCTAAAGAGAGAAAGGTTTAGTCTGCATATTTGTCATGGACTACTTTGTATGACTATTCTGAACCTGAATGTGGTAATTCATCCTTAAACTGGTCTTGAATTAGACAGAGAAGAGCTAGAGCGTTTCAGATGTAGGATTAGAATGGACCATGAGCACCTGTGCAGCTGCTTCGATAATCCACTCTTTACCTGTAATATCAGAACAGAGCCAGATCTCACAGATGAAAGGATATTTGTTTCCACAGGCCCCGTATTCAGCAAATCCCATAATATCTTTGAATGTCATAGAATGTTTTCCAAGTTTGTTCCATCATCTCTTCAGCAGAAGGTTACGGTGTGCCAGGTTCCTTTTTAATGTGTTTCCATGCACAACGTAATTTGCATTCCTGCGTCTAGTTAGCGGTAAAAAGAAACACACTGTGTTCTGAATCACTTTGCGGTGGTTGCATGAGAGCACTCTATTCCAGTCCTGAAGATCCACGCCATATTTGGCCAGTCTGAACATTGGGTTCTTCAATGTAGATACCTTTGTGTGACATAACGTTTGTCATTGTTAATTGCACAGCAACTTTATTGGCGCTGATTAGCAGAATTAAGTAGATTCGTCTAGTGTGATGTTTGTTGAGGCAAATGTTATTGCATCTAAATTCATAACATGTAATATTTGGCTAATTTCAGTTTACAGCATACCCTTTATATCTCTTTAAATACTGTATGTATCCTTTGACCATCAGGATGTCTGAAGAAGATCTTGAAGCCGATCTTAAAGTAAATTTGTTTTTTATAAAGTGACTAGATTGTGAAGTTAAAGTGAGTTCAGGT